CTCAAACATGTATCTCCACAGCACTACAACAGAGGCCAATATCCAGTACTAGTCCCAGTGGATTGATACTTATTATGAAACCTTTTTTTGATTGCTTGTAACTTTTCTAATAAGCCACTTAAGCTAAATAAATCCTGTGTTTGGTACAGATTTTACACGGATACACCTGTACATCCTAGGGATAATTTTGCACATGGACTGAGTGTTCAAGGACAAAGTGAAAGTAAAGGAGAAAGAGGAAAAGAAGGAAGAATGATTTTGCATGTAACTGCAGAACTTAGTTTTAAAATAAGCAGTACCAGAGTGAAAGCTGTTTTCTAAAGCAGAAATAGGAAGTTCAGCTGAGTCCACAAGCAGTTTTGCCTTCCTCAGCTGTTTCCTAATCCCTTCTGTCACAGAACCCAGCTCAGAGTCCCCTTGCAGCACTTTTGGCTTTCCCTCTTTGCTTCCTCTCCTCCAATTAGGAATAGAGACCAGATAAGGAGCTGCAGGTAAACTCTTTGCACAGAGAAAGAAAGAGACCAGATCAGGGAACACCCACTCAAAACCAGACTAGAAGAGCCTGGGTAAGGAGACTGAAGGGAAGGGCAAGGAGAGGGTGCACTGCAGGGGAGTGATACTGCTAGCACAGCAACAACAGGCATGGGTCAGGGGACACCTGGACTTAAACCAGGGAAAGAAGCAGCTGGAGAAGCAGGGAAGCAGCAGTGTGTCTCAAGCAGAGGAGGCCAGAGCACACCCCTTTATACAGCCTGGACACTGACTCAAAATTCCCAAGTCTCACAATTCTTCTACTTATAACAACCATCCATAAGCCCCGTGGAGAAGGGGCAAGCCCTGTATTTGTCTGTCCTTTAACCAATGCTGGGCCACACAAATAAGAGGTAATCTACCCTGTCCCTTGGGGTCCTCTTGCCCTCAAGAGAGAGGTCTGAGCAGAGGAGCAATATCCTGCTGGATCATCATTGGTGGTATCAGCAAGAAGGCTTGAGACAGAATCCCCATCCTCAGTTTGCTCTTAGGAAGAAATACACATATGTAAAGAGATTAGGAAGTGCCCAGCCACCAGATTAAAATAAATGCCCTCAAGAATGAAAAGTGAAGGACTTGAGAGTTAGACAGCACCAAGGTTACAGCTGCTGGTGCATGTGGATCACAGCACAGGCTGTAACTATGATGCAACCACTGAAGCTGGACTAAGGCCAAATTTACATTCCACTCCTACCACACTGACCTAAACCTCATCTGGGCACAGGCCCATCTATCTGCTCCTGTGGCATTTGTATCTCCAAACAGAGCAACCCTCCCTCTTCACCACAGCCTTCATTACTGTCCCTCAAGTTTTTGTTACAAGGTGAGAAGAGTTTCTCAGATAATGAACTTGAACACAGATCTCCAAAACATTTTTTCTCCTCCAGTCCTTGACAAGTTCCCACATGATATTAAAGCAACCCACTTGAATCAAATTTCTCAGGAGAGCTCAACAACTCCATACTCCAGAGGCCAGCCTAAGATTTTTGGCTGCTCTGTTTGCAGAAAGAGAGCTCTCCTGGAAAAGAAATTATAGGAGCTAGGCTTACATATGTGCACAACACGTGGTCAAGCATGCAAAAAAAAAAAAAAGGAAAAAAAAAAAAAGAAAAAAGATGGCCTCAGTCTCAAACTGTGTCCAAAACCTACCAGAGAGGTCTCACAGAGCAAACAAACTGACAGCAGCACATAAAACATTTAGTCACACCAACAAGAAAAGCAATGAGTCACATCCAAACATCCAAACCACAGAAAACATGAATTCTAGCACCTTTCATTTAAAATTTCCTGATAGCTTTATTAAAGTATTTTTTAAAGCTTATTTGTTTCCCAGGATCTGTTCAAGTCAATACTGATCACTGCCACACATGCAGGAACCTCTGCTGAGACAGACCAAATGTGACAGGAGCACAGAATGAACCAAGGCCAAAGTGCACACACCTTCCAACCACTCATTTCAATGTATGTATGTTCAAGTAGAGGTAGCACCACAGGAAAATTGGTGTTCACACGGCACTCTGAAATTTCCAGGTGCTATTGCCAACTACTGACATTAGGTATTTCCAGTTCTAATGGGCTACCTGGTTATTTCAGTACCTCAAAAAATGCCAATTACAATGTGGTTCTGCTTGTAAGTGGAGCTCAGTCTCTGCTACTTCACAGGCTGCTCTCTTTCCCCCTTTTGGGATCTTCAAACCAAATCCCACAGAACAAGAGATGAAAGGGAATCTGAATTAAAGGTGGCAGTTCTCCCAACTTTCACCTACATAGAAAGCAGCACTGCAGCATTCCTGGCCAACGTGGGGGATTCCAGGACAAAATTATGCCTTTCCTTCTTCATGTCTATTTAGGAAGGACTCTGAATGCAATTAATCACACAATTAGCACCACACATCTAGAACTGCCATCAGGTTGGTGAGAAGCCCAAATCAGTAACAGACCTAAAAACCAAGTTTAGCCAACTTACCATCATATAAGGGTCATCCACAATAGGATAAATATAATCTGTCGTCTGGACTAATGACAAACCTCCATGTCTTAATGGAATAACACAAGTGTCCATCCCAATTCCTGCAAAGACAGAAATCCGTCAGTGAGGTGGGTAACTGTGCCCTGAATTATCTGTTGCTCTTAACGAAAGAGTTTATAAAACATGTCTGTGAAATACAATTCCTAACATTGCCTAAACAGACAAGGCAAATTCCTTTGCCAGAAAAAGCACACAGCACAAGTAAGAGGAAAAAAACAAGCAAAGAAAGAAAACTCCTGGTTGGAACCGAACATAAGTGCAAATGGCTGAAGGCAAGAACTAAACTACAATGGTTTTTATTCTTTTGCAGCAGCATAACAGCACATCAAGAACATCCGTGCTTTTATGTAAGTACATTTAAAGTTAAGAGGAACTAAGTACACTGATATTGTCAAAAGCAAATAGGTTTTCCTGTCAAACACAGTGACAGTTGTGAAGGGACACAGCATCTCATAAAGGACATTCCCTCGCTTCAGAAGGAACAAGAACTCCATATGTCACAGCCCAAGCCCTTGGTGAAAGATGATTCACCCACTTGGAGCTTTAGCAACCGCTTCAGCCTCCCCTTGCAAGGCTGGAAGGCTGCAGACCACCTGATAGATACAGAACTCCTTGGAGAAAACCACAACTCTGAGCACCATAAACCTTTTCCTTGGCAGTGGATATTTCAACTGGAACATGTGATATTAGAACCTTCCAGCATTTGCTGCAACAGAAGAGCCCACACCAAGGGGGCAGGTGACAAATCACAACATGCTGGCAGCGCCACACTCCCCTGTGGATAGCCTTGTGCTCACCTCCTCCCTGGGCTGGCAGCAAGCTACCTGGAATTACTCTGCATGCCCCACAGGGCAAGGGTCTTCAAAACAGCCCATTTTTAGGGAGCAGATGTCACACAGAACTTTTGACCATGTATTAGTGAAACACACTACCCTAGCAAGAGCTACAAACCCGTGTTTGGCAGTGTCCTGTACAGCCATGGAGCAAGTTGGTGTCATCTGAGTCTTTCTGAGGGGACAGAGGTCTGCCAGGCAGTCATGCAGGTGAAGAGGATGTTGCCTCCCCTGCCTAGAGAGGAAGGAGATCTTTCCTTGGAAAAGCACACATACTAACAAGCTCTCAAGCAGTCATTTAGGGTTGCTCAATCTCCATAGAAGCACCCAAGGCACTATGCCTGATGTCCACTGCCTCCAGGGAAGGGCACTTAAGCAGTTACAGGGAAGTGGCCCAGGTGCAGGAGCTGTTTTGCCCTCAGTTCACCTGTTCATGCCATAATGCTGCAAAACCAACTCTGACAGACAGACCAAAGGGCTACAATGGTGGTCCTTCTGAGGCTGTGTTAATGTTCCACCAAAACAGTTCTGAATAACAAGAGAATATGTTCAGAGCTGTAACTGATTTCAGATTCATAACAGCTCTGAGAATAAACATCAGATTTGCAGTTTCTTACTCACAGCCATATTTCAGTTTGCTCTGGGTAACATCCCTTGCAGAATTAAAAAGGGGAGAGCTTGAGCCTGCTGCTGGCAATCTCCCTTCTGACTGCATTTCAAAAGCATGATGCCTATGCATACGTGGCAAAGTTACCTATCTATACCTTTTAAGTACAAGACATCAAAGGCAAATCTCACACCAAACTTATTCAGACACATTTGCTAAAGTGATACTCATCACAAAAGCATATTTTAAAAGAGATCTGAACTCTTCACCTTTGATTACTAGCAGATTTTCTGCTACATGGTTTCACACCTACACACTGATGGCGTAAATCTACTTTTATACCTTTTCATATAGCTGTAGAAGAAAAGTCTACTAGCAGTTACATTATTGTTTAGAGCCTCTAAGTTTGTAAGAGAAATCTAAACCGAACTATTACTGATTTTAGAAAATTGCCAAACTGAAATGCTTCTGTAAACAGCTTACTTAATTTAGAAAAATATATATAAATAGCAATTTGGGGATGAAAAAAGATGGAAGTGTCCTCCATCAGGGAATATTAAATTATAGTGCCACCCCAGCTTCACACACAATTGCTGCTTAGATACTTCCTTCATACAAAGATCCCCATTGTTTAAACAAGAGCATGGGCGCCTTACTAATCTCTGATTATATTCAATCTCTACCAGAATAATGGCTTGCAACCTGTTAGCCTGCTAATAGACAATTAGTAATGTTTATATAACTGTAAATAAGGTTATTGAACAGTAAACTGATAATGAAATAATTTCAGAATAAATGCTCCACTGATATTCCTAAGTTGAGGGGGGAAAAAAAAAACATTCTGCACTGCAAAGAGATTGAATATGCAGGGCTGAGTAAATAGACAAACAGAATTAAAAGTGTCATTAAACACATTATCTACATTAATTTATCTATATCAATATTAGGTACAGTAGCTGGTATCAAAATACCTACGTTTGCCCTGTTCCCCATGTAGGTGGCTTGTGCAGGTTGTTTTCCCTTATTGCTTGCATCATTGTGCAAATATCAAAGAGAAAGTGAAGCTGGCAAGAACACAGAGGTCTTGGAAAGGCAGCCTTTCCCAGGCAGCTTCTACAGGTGAGCAAAAGAGTTAGAGTGGGGAACAACGAAAGGACTCAAAGGAATAATGACAATTGTGAAACAATTCGCTCCCAGTCAGCTGAAGCAAGGAAGTTCTCTTGCTCACTTTCTGTGATCCAGGAACTGAGGGGAAGGGAGGGAGAGGGGGAAATTCACCTGGGAGTCATCCAAATTCATTCATCCATTGCATCAAATTCCAAATGCAATGCATGACCATAAAAGTCTAGAAATTAACTGACAGGACTTCAGTTTGCACAGCAACTACTGGGGGGAAAGGGAGGAGCAGACTAACACCTAAGCATGTGCCCATCACAATGGCCACTCCTGAGTGTTTTGCCTTTGTAGTTGAGTTACTACACTGCAGGATGTTAAATAATTAAGATCATATTCTTGTATCCCAGATGCCAACAAATGACAGCATGAGATTCATTCTTCAGCTTTCTGGATGCTGTGCATGCATTATGCAACACACAATTTTCAAACTGGTTAAACAAACCACAAATGTGATCGTGTCACTAAGTAAATTGAGCAGAAGGACCACCAATGTCCAGAGCAGCAACTACTTACCCAACCTGGGCATAACTGCCCCCAAGAACTGTTCATCTTCCTGAAAATGGTTTTCTTGTAGAGATTCAAGCAGTTTCTGTAAGACATCCTGCGGCACTTTGCAGCCTGTGCCCTTCAGTTCAGTGAATCGCGTCAGACGGAAGCTCTTGTCCAGTTCGTAACTCTCTGGGTTAAAGGACTCCCGAACAGACATGGTTCTCTCCCACAGACTGCCGGCCTCTCCCACCCCACAGCAACGGGATCAGTTTCTCTGCTGATCAGTCTTATTAAAAAATAAAAATAACAATTAAAAAAAGAAAAAAGGAACATTGGAAATTCCTATGATCTGCAAGACAATGTGTTTTCCACATGGTGCAAGTTAAAAGAAAAAGAAAGTGCTCGTTGTGGTTGTTCACCTGTTAAGACAGGTGTGCACATCTCACACAACTCTTTTCCTTATGACTACAAAGGGATGACTCCTTATGCTACCTTCTGACATTTAAACTATAACTATGCCAGGTGAATCAAAGAATTAAGTTCTTTTCCAGATATGCTGCATAAGGTTTTCATTAAAAAAAGAATTTAACACACTTACCGTCCTCATTTAACACAGAGGTAATGAAAGAAATAATAGTTCCCAGAGCACAGAGGCCAAAAGGCAACCTGGGCCCTGATCCTGCAGCATGCTCAGCAGGGACATGTGTTTGTACTCAGCTCAGTGTGGGGTCATAATTTTACCCACTAACATATTAATCACAAAAATAAGATGCTTTTCAAATAATGGCTCTGCTTCAGTCCCAAAACAAGAAGCTGAAGCTTCGTAATACACCTGCTCTCCTTGGGAGAAAACACAGTCCTGGTGCCCTGTTGGTACAGGCAGCAGAAGAACAAAGAGGCCGTATTTAAGTAGTGGTTTACCTACAAGCATGCCAGTTCACCTTTTAGCATGTTCAGAGACAAAAAAAAAGGCTAAGAAATTAAGTTTCTGGCCTCTTCAGCCCTTTTTTAGTCAACTAATGATACAGAAAATCAGAGAATTATCCATTAAAATAGTAATGTAAAAGGACACTGATGCAATTCATTTAATAAAATTCTTAACAATGCATGTCTAATTTTAGAACGTTTTTCCACTCTGACTCACATCCACCACACTCCAAAACTAATAAGAGGCCTAACCGAGACACTGCTTTCTAAACAGGGACGGCTGTGATAAAATACAATTCATCTTTCTCAGAGAACAAGTTTTCAGGAATTACTAAAAGCAACCTGTCTAGCAGTAGTTTCTTAGAAAGCAAGGATCCTGTGTAATAGCAACAAGAACAGAGTTGAGCGTCATCACTGACAAAACCTGATACTGATGGTCATGCCCTAATGAGGATAGGCTGAAAAGAATTCAAGTGACTGGTATTTGCCAAGTTCAACTTTGCTAAATGAAGGAAAGAAGTAAACCTACAGACTGCACTGTACCTGCCCTACACAGCACTTATTAACCAGCACATCTGTTCCATAAACCTTTAAGTCAATTTATTGACTGTAATTTGTAGGAACTGAAGTTTTAAGTTCCCTGAGAACTTTTGATGTGGAGCCCAACTCCCCTTCACTGTGTTTTCCCTCCTTCTCCAGGAGGTGTGGCACTTATTTAAAACAAATCTTCCAAAGCCTAAGCTCGGGCAGAAATCCAAACTCTAGTTACAAGAACGTGTCTTGGATGAGCAATGAATTCAGTTCCTAGCTGTTGTCTTCCAATGCAAGACACTAAGCACTTGCAAAAAAGAAAAAGTGTCTGGAAAACAACCTGTCAACAGAAATAGGAGACAAAAGCTTTTCAAGGAGGGGGACATTTTTTTTTTCTTCATTCTTTTTTAACACTTCAGTCTAATTAATTCCAGAAAATTATAAAAAGCAGCTTGCCCCACTAGAGAAACATCTTCCTTCATCTAACCAATAAGTGAAATAAGCTTAGCACCCCCTGCCTATTACACAGGGATGGATGCAGAGGCCACAGCCTACTAGGGACTTTTTGCAGCCTTGAGGACCGTAAGGACACAGTTCCCCCGTTTGAAAACAACTCGTGAAACAAACAAGATGATTTCATTTAATGGAAAACATCCCCTGTGCAAGAATACAGTAACTTTTCTAATAAAGATCTGATTAAACCTGCGTGCAACTGTGTAATTCGCAGACTCCCATGGGAGCAACATTTCCCACAAGATCAGGTTTTGGTGACTTCGGTGGTCACAGCACCGAGCCTAGCAGAGTTCACGAAGAGTTTGGACAACTCTCATGCACAAGGTGTGATTCTTGGGGCTGTCCTGTGCAGAGCCAGCAGCTGGACTGATGGCTCTGGCGAGTCCCTTGCAACTCAGAACATTCTGCGATTCTGGCAGCCGATGCAGCAGTGCGATGTGAGCGACAAGCATCCCTCCCCAGCAGCAGACAACACCTCCTAACCCAGACGTTTCTAACTTTAAAAGAGCGGCATAATAAATATTAAAAGCTAAAGTTTAACCCTTGCCTTCCTAAACAGCAGAGAGAGGGGAGCACAGGAGCGAAAAGGGGAGGAGGGAGGGAGAACTGGAGCCGGCTACATACCCCAGGCAAACCCCAGCGCACCCACCGCCAGCCCGGCCGCCCGAGACACACGAGGCGAGGCGCTGCAGCCACCATCGATCCGGGGAATGCGGCGGGGAGACATGGCTCCGGGACACCTTAAATTTCCAGCCGCTGCCTTTAGAGGCAACCTGGGGCCTTCGCTGCCGCTCTTTGTGCAGCCGGAGAGGCGGCGGGGGAAGAGGACGAGGAGGAAGAAGGTGCACCGGGAGCGGCGGTGGCAGCCCGGTGTCCGCCGCGTCCCCACGTGCAGGTTCGGTGTCACACCGGGGCGGGGTTCGCCCCTCGCCGGCGGGGACGGCCGGTGGGATGGTAGGAGCAGCCCCCCCACGCCGACACTCCGTAATGGGGAGGGAGGGAAGCACGGGGGTGGGGGGGAGGAATGGGGAAGGGGGGGTGCAAAGGAGGGAAAAGGGAAAAAAAAAAAATGTCGGCGGGCGAAAAATTTAACCCGTCCGCTGCCGGCGTCCAAATTTTTTTAAAGCGGCCGCATCGCGGTGAGGCGCTGCCCCCCCATCCCCGCTCCTTCCTCCGCCCTTCCCCCGGGGCCGGGCCGAGGGAGGGCGGCGGGGCCCGGGCCAGGCGGGCACCCCGCGCCCCGGCCGCGCCGCGCCACCCCCCGCGCCCGGCCCGGCGGGAACGGCGGAGGCGAATTCCCCTTTAAATCTCCCCGCCTTGCACCCCCCCTCCTCCTCCTCCTCCCTCCTCAGGTCTCCCTCTCACCGGCTCTCGCCGCCTCCTCGCCCTCCGCCTCCTCCCGCGAACGGGACTCCCAGCGCGGTCCCACAATGCACCGGGCGCGACGGGCTCCCTCAGCGCCGCCTGAATAGAAAATGCCGCCGCCGCCGCCGGGCACGGGGGGGTTAAACCCCCCCTTTTCCTCCCTTTCCCTGCTTTTCCCTCCCTTTCCCTCCCGCCTCCCCGCTCCGCGCTTCCCGCCCCCTCCCGCTCCCCCTCGCACCGCATCCCACGCGCGTTCCCGCGCGGGGGCGCGCGCCGTTGCGGCGCGACATGTCGCGACACCGCCCCCCCCCCCCCCCCCCCGCGCCCCTCAGCCCGGGCGTGTGTGTGGGCTCTGGTCCCTTCGTGCATCCCGGAGTCACCGAGGCTGCAGGAGACCTTTAAGATCGGTCCCAGCGCGCACTGCCGCTGTAACCCCTTCGCTACTAAACCTCAGCAGCAGCGCCCGACCAAGCGCCTCCTAAACCTGACTCCGGGACCGGCGCTCCACCACCTGCCTGGGCAACCTAGCCGGGAAAAACGCTTCTTCAATATCTAATCTCAATCTCCCCTGTCCCTGTTTTCCCCTAATGCCAGGGTCGGTTAGAAATCCATTGGAAAAGACCTCTGAGATCGAGTCCAACCTGTGAGCAAACACCACCTTGTCAGCCAGACCATGGCACTGAGTGCCACTTCCAGGCTAAACACCTCCAGGGATGGCAACTCCACCACCTTGGGAACCTGTTCTAATGCCTAACCATCCTTTCTGTGAAGAAATTCTTCCCCACATACGCTGATGTTTCCCCTGAGAAGCATGAGTCTGCCTGCAGAATTCCTTGCTCTGACACCTTCTCCTTCAATATGGAAACTTGGAGCTTGAGGACAATTTGGGTGGGAAATTTAACCAGAACTGAGGAGACCTGGCAGAGCCAGGTGCTCCATCGATGCTGAATTTTGCCCAGAAACTGGACAAAAAGTCACATTTGATCCATGTCACACCGAAATGTTGGGCAAGAAGGAAAGTGAGGGGGTCAAATGGACCTGACAATGGGCAAAATTTGGCCAACATTAAAATTTTCTGTGTGCAGAGCTAGGACTGTGGGCCCAGGGAGATACAGGTGTCATTTCCTCAGGTGTCATCTCCAAGGGGTTTGATCAGTGTGTGGCCCATGGAAGGCTGCAGGTACCACAGCAGGAGCACTGCAATGTGGCTGGGTGTGTCAGCTGGTGACATTTTTTACCCCAGAATATGTTTTTGAGTATGCTTCAGGAAAAATGTAATCCTGTTTTGTGGCAGGTGGTGATGGGTTCAGCACAACTGTAGGAAGCTGGGCTGTGTTTTAGTACCCAACAGCCAGGATTGTCACAGACTACTTGCTCAACTCAACCCTTCTCCATCACCGATTTGCAAAGCATCCCATTTTTTCTTATGCATTTAATATATAACCACTGGAATCCAACATGTCTTTAATATGTCTGATTTCCAGTGTCTTCTCAGTTAATTTTTCTCCCTGAAAGTGCTTTTTGTGCTTCCAAAGACCTTTTTCCCAAACAATTAAAGTCACAATTCAAATTAGTCTCTTGCTTTATGTGCAAGACAATTTTCTCTAGAAAGGAGGGAATTTCTGTGTTAGGGATAGCACAGGGCCCAGTTTACATTTCCAAGTAGATAAAACAGGCACTTTGCTTCATGTAATTTGCAGCTAAGTACCTAATTAAGTAATTGCGTGCAACTGGCTTTGAAAAAGTCCTGTGTAAAAACAAGCAGAAAGAGAAAATTTTTAAATGTTGCTTTTCTTGCTTGATTTTAATTACTCTTTTTATCTCCTAGAGAATGTAGTGCCCCAGGACTGTGGTGCAGGGGACCAGAGGTGCAAGGGAGCTCCCGGCACTGAGCACATTTAGGAAGTCACTAATATTTGTATAATTAATTGATTTTCAGGCTCCTCTGTGTTGCTCTCTGAAAGCATTTCAAGCTTGACACACAGAAGCTGTTTCTCCGTGAGCAGCTGTGGGGCATTTGGCTGATGGCTTTGACAGCAGAGATGAATTGAGGACGTGGCATCTGCAGTCCTGACCTGGAATTTGAACCCTTTAGTGCCTCTCCCTCCTCCCAGACTGGAGAGGAGGCAGAAGATCTCAGAATCTTCTGATTGCCATTGATCTGATTTTACTGAGCACTGGCCTCGTATCACGTCTGTGTGTTCCTTGAGAGATGATTTCAATCTGAAAAAAAACCCTGTAAGTATCTTGAGAGCTGGAAATCAGATGCTCTGATCTAACATTTCTCCAGCATTTAGCCATCCCCTCTACAGCCAGCACCTCATTAAAAAAGCAAACAAACAAACATGAAGCATAAGGAAAACTGTGAGATAATGTTGCTAATTTTGAGCCCTGACTTACATGATTTTCCTTTCTGATATTTTTGAAGGGAAGAGGGAATTGGATCATATTTTTATCTTTTTTTTTTTTTTCTCCACATCTATAGAATTCCTGGACATTTCCTTAACAGAGGAGAAAATAAAATAAATTGAGATTTCCAGGTGGTAACATGGCTGAAAGAAGACATGAATATTTGGAAATTCATGTTCATTAGTACTGGCACAGATGTGACTCTGTAGAGCTGAAGCTAACCAGGACCAGGGTATAGAGATGAGAACTGCACATAATTGAAACCCTGATTAATTAAAAGCAATTTCTTGGCACAGACAATGATGGAGTATCCTTGGGTGGATCTGCACATGTGGACACGTGCACCAGGCCCTGCTGCCTGTGCTGGGGTGAGGCTTTTATGTGGGCAGGCAAGGGGTAGAAAAGTGGCTTTTCCAAGAAGGCCAAGCCAAGAGGAGCAGCGAGCCACCCGTGCCCCGTGCTTCTCCAGGGGCTCCACGCTTGGAACAGCTGCTGGAGAACTGTGGGATCAGGAAGGGCATCCTGTGCACATGGGGGAATGTCCTTTCCATGCAGGATCATAAACAAAACCCTGAAAGAGTAGTGATGAATCCAGCAGCCCTGGGGAGGGCCCACACTGCTGGAACCACCAGCTTCATGGAACATTTTTCTGGAGTCCAATTGTTGTTTTCGAGACTTGAAAACGCATCAAATTTCCTTTCCTCGCTCCCTCCCAAATGCTTTTTTGTCACCTGTGTCCAAAACTTCCAACAGAAGCTCCATGATTGGAGTGATTTGGTCCAATGCCACGAGAAGAGACTGCTCCACACAGCTTAGGAAGAGCAAAAAGGAGAAAGAAAAGAAGGTAAAGCCCTTCATGCTGCGCCTGATCACTCATCAAAGCCAGCTGCCTCCTGTGCTGACTTGAGGACGTGACAGATGTCTGTAGCCTTTACAGGTGCAGGGCCTGCATTTCATCAGTCTTTTTTCCATGGATGGCCTGGAGTGTGGATTATTAGCAGCTCAGATTTCTTTGGCCAAAGTGCTTTGTTGTGTACACATCCGGGTTAAATCTAAGCAATATTTCTGATCCATGTAGGCTTCTGACTCGGTCCTGCGTCTTTGGTGTTTACAAAATGATCAGAGTTTGAACTCTCCCTGTTGTGTTTCTTAAATGTCAGCAGAAACTTTTTTTATTTTTTTTAATAAAACAATGCAGCCATCCCCTGCAATGTTTGTAACCAAGAAACTGTGGCATCACAAGAGCATGAGGAAATGCTGCCTGATTAAAACCAGGGTAAGAAATGGCAGCGAAAGTGTTTGTCTTTTTTTTTTTCCTCATTCCAGAATTCACAATGAAGTGGCTGGTAAAATGGGACCAGCTGCTTCAGGCCCCACTTGGGCTGAATGCAATGTTTAATGTGCTAAAACTAGTTCCACTGGCAAACTTTAGTGTGATAATTTAATTTCTCATGTAAAGCATATCTCACAGCATGCCTTTTTCCCTACCTCCCTCTGTTTTGACAAAGTAAAGTAAGTTTCAGCTATTGCTGGCTTTCTTTGCCTTGTTTTTTGTCTATTTCCTGCCTCTCATTAATATACAAGTAGTATTAAATAGTAATGATGCCAGCATTGACCTCTGCTGTGCCTTGGTGTTTACTCATTTTTGCTTCAAGGAGCAGATGTTCTCTGTCTTTGTCTTCTGTTGCCAAATGGGGACTTTGCCCCTTTAACCTTTGATGAGGTGCTTTAATAGTCTCTGATGGGAGATTTTATCAAAAGCCAAGTAAATCATACCTGCCTGGCAGCTTCTTTTAAACATTCCCATCGTGGTTTACAGCAGTTCAAGAAAGTGCAGTTTCCTCTGTGTTTTTGCAGGCTGTATTTATCCCCTGCACCCAGCTGAGCATCCTCCATGGAGGGGAGCACCCATGGCAGGGCTCCTGGGGTCCTGCTCCTGGAGGATGCTCCAGCAGCAGTCCCTTGCCAGCCTCCACCATGTAGCAGTCAAACAGGGTGATGTTGCCCATCAGTGATCAATGGGGTCTGACTAGACTCGCCTGGACCCCATTTTCCATCAGTTGCTGATGTGGGATGGGGAGGGTGGTGTGTACACAGCTGCTGTTTGGGTCTTGGTGCTTGTTCCCTTTCTGTGTGCCCGGTGAGGGGCTCCTGGCTGCTTTTGCTATAAAGCTGCTCTCACCCTTCCTATGAAGAGGCTGCCTCACAACATCTGTCTTTTCTTCATCCTTTCTGCAGCATTTCATACTTTGCCCCTGCACTTGGCCACCCCAAAAGCTGTGAGGGAAAATCCACTTCCCAGTTATTTGGGTTTTTGCCCAGGACCCTACATGGCTTGTACAAGCAGCCACCAGCCCTGGGCTGGGGTGGGGAGGGCTCTCCCCAGGGCAGGCAGGCTGAGTTGTACCTCAGGTGGAAGCCTTGTGAGCAGTTTGGGAAGGTGGAATTTTGTGTCTGAGATGTGTCTGTGTGCTCTCCCATGGCCTCTTGCAGCATTAGGGGTGGCTTCTGCTGAACCCCTCTTGGATTTACACACATCTCTGCAGAACTGCATTGGATTTGGGTATTCCCACCCTGCCTTTTCTCTCTTGGCCTGTCACATCCTCATGGTGTGACATGTGGGGGAAACATTTCCTGGAGCCCCTTTGTTCTGCCAGTCTGGGGCAGCAGGCACGGCACGGCTGCTCTTTATTACTGGCCACCACGTGGAAAATAAAACAATCACATGAAGCTTGGTGAAGCAGCAGCCTCTGCCACACTCCCCTCAGTGCCACTGCCCAGCCTCTGTGGGAACCACCTCCTTCCCCCTCCAGACCTGGAAGTTCACCTGTGCTGACAACATCTGCACTGGGGACAAGCCTCGTGCCTTGCATTGCCCACTAGAATGCTCCTTGTGTCCTTCTCCCTTTGCAGGGCTTGGTGTCCCCAAGCCACACCCCAGCACACTGAGCCTTGGCATTCCAAACATTTCCCACTTCCTTTGGCAGGGATGTGCCCTGGGCAGAGCTGCTCCTGCAGTGTGGATGGCAGGGGCACAACCCCATCATCACCACCATGGCCTTTGGTCTCAAGCACAGCCGGTGCTTTTCAGTGCCAGAGTTTTCTCAAGGCTGGAGCCTATAAATAATCCAGGAGTGTCTCCTGCCCAGCTCTGCACTCTGCTACCTCTCTTTGTTTCAGAATGAGCTGTGTGATTCTGCCAGCCAGAGCTGCATCCACCTGATACAGGCTCCCTTGGGATGAGTCTCAAATGCTGACTTCCAAATTACTGTCTGGAGCGATGGGTGCAGCCGAGCTGAGCCAGCAATCCTATTCCAGCTGCTGGCACTCGCCAAAACATCTGCCTGCCTGTGTTGTGCTTGTTGATGGAGCTGTGAGCAGCTCCCAGCATGTCATTTGGGAATATAAATTGAGTTCCTCTGAGCTGGAACCACCTGCTTCAGATAATTTCTCTGGCAAGGAGTCTTCTATCTTATTCTCCATCCAGGATTTTCCTGCTTTCCTCCGCTGCCAGCCCTGTGCGGTAGCTGGAGGGGTTGGTAGCGATGGGTGGGAATTTAGATGGATCCATAGGGGAAATGTTCTGCTGCCAAAGCACAGCAGAGGGCAAATGTGCTGTTTAAACCATAGAATTTTAGAATCACAGACTGGTTTGAGTTGGAAGGAACCTTTAAAGTTCATCTAGTCCAAACCCCCTGCTATGCACAGGAACAGCTTTTGATATATTGGGTTGCTCAAAGCCAACCTGGCCGTGAACACTCCCAGGGATGGGGCATCCACAGCTTTTTGAGATGCCAGGCCCTTCTTGATGCTGAACTAAGACTGGTTGGATGCACAAGCAGGGAAACAAGCAGTTCCCCTGGAAAACAGGTGGCTGTTGTAAGGAGCAAAATGAAACCAGGGCTGTGGTAGTGAAGGATGCTGCTGCTCCCAGCTTCCCTTTTCCCTCCCTAGGGTGACATGCAGCCAGCCCTCCAGGTCTGTCCCTGTCCCTTCTCCTTCTTCTGCCCCAGCAGTATCCATTAGATGAGCACGTAATTAGGATCCCCTAAAAGCACCTGAACTGCTGTCTGTCAAAACAGAGCTGAATTCCACCCGGAATTGTGCCAGCCAGGCACTTAAAACTTGAGCAAATGGGAAAAAGGGGTTTATATGGGAAACATCAGCAAAGTGCTCTCAGAGCTGCAGGTGAGGCACCCTGGGAGAGACCAATGCCGAGTGCCACCTCTCATCTCCTCAGGGGATAACCATTATGCAATGGTGTGTTTTCCCCGTTGGAAAAGCAAAAACAAACCAAACCCAAGCCCCTAAGCAGGGGCTGGGTGGTTTGATCTCCTTGAGGCGTTGGATGTGAGTGTGTTGCCATAACAGTCTCACAGCACAGGAGGCACTGAAATGTCTCTCCTGCTCCCAGCCCAAGCTAGCAGGAGCAATGAGGGTTGCTGAGCCCACAGGCAGTGACTCCCCCAAAAAACACCTGGAAAGCCCCTGATTTACATGCACCAAGACATCCAAAGGCTGTTTTCATGGAGTGATGGATCCTTGGAGCTGCCAGGAGGCGAGACCCCTCTGGCGGGACTGGCTGGATGTGGGGGTGCATGGAGGAGGGTGTCAGGGCTCCCCATATCTCTGTACCCCCAAATGCAGCCCTGCACTCAGCAGATGCACCTGGCAGTAGTGGGAAGTGCTGTAATGTGGTGCTCCACATTCTCCTAAAGAGCTTTTCCCCAGCATTTAAAAGTAAAACCCACAAACTCACACAGGGAGGGGAAACAATCACAAATGAAATCTTCCCATTTCTCCATTTCTTTCCCA